GGGAATTATAAGTTAAAACTGTGACTACATATCTGTTAGAATAAGTTAAAAAATTAACAATACTAACTGCTTGTGAGGATGGAGAACAACTAGTAACCTCACACATTTCTGGTGGGGATGCAGAATGGTATAACTTGGTAAAACAATTTTTATGATGTGCATGTTATTTAAGGTCACCACTTCACCATATATATGGCATGTGGAACTGCTTACATTCAACCCCTCAAGACACCAGTGAATTTTTAAATACTTACCTCCCTCCCCACCACGCTTAGTTGTACATTACATATATTTGTGCTCATGACATTTCTATTGGGTTTATGTTTTCCCATCTCAACTCTCTCTACTCAGGAGAAACAATGCCATAACCTTCTGTACTTCAGAGATTACTCTGGCTTTTATTTTCAAAATTACAAGTCTCTAATCTTTTTATTTAAAACCATTGAGCAGACTGATTTAGAGATGAATTGATGGTGCCATATCTGAGATATTATCACCTTTTAAACTCTTAACTATAAAGGTTAAAACAACAGCTATCACGAAACAGAAACTATGTCAAGCTAGGACAACTGACAGTACTTATCCTGCAATTATTTGCTCATATGTCCATGACAAAGAGCAAGATATATTCATAATTGTGTCTCCAGAATCCAAATCAGAGTACAGAGCAGATCATGCATAAATGAATATGGTTGTACATTCTGTGTCACAGGAACTGCTGAGCTAGAGTCAGAAAACAAAAAAAAATAATTAATTAAGTATAAAAAGGAAAAAAATGGTTTTGGAACAAATAAATATTAAATTTTCTTACGTTACCACTGGACCTTAACATATACCTCCTTCCCCCTTTTACTCAATATTTAGGGTTTTCTTAAGTCCACACTTTTTTTTTCCAAATGCATCCATTCTATTCCAACTGCTTCTAGTTTTATGCACATCTTCACTATTTTGTACCTGCATTATAGCCATGGCCTTTTTCCCAGTACCCTGTATCTCCCCTCTTCAGGTCATGTTCTTCTTGGCCCCAGATATCTCATTCTGATAAAATGATGACATTTTTACCCTTGATCTTACAAATCTTTCAAAATTTTCCCATTGCCAAAGAAGTGATTTCAAATAATTTTCTTTAGAACTTTGGGTTTCGAAGTTGTGATTCCAATGTTTGATATGGGCTCAAAATTTAATTTTTGAAACATCAATCCTTAAATATTTTAAAAAGTGAAACAAGTGGTAGAGCACTTGCATGGCACATGTCTTGGGGTTCAGTCCTCAGGATCTCTCTCTCTCTCTCTCTCTCTCTCTCTCTCTCTCTCTCTCTCTCACACACACACACACACACACACACACACACACAAATACACAGGAAAAAGGACACATGACCTATCCCTTCTGAGAAGAGAAATTGGATTTGGACTTCTAAGTACAGCTAAAAATTCTGGACATTATCTTCCTTACCATTTATTTTTCTCCCTTCTCCTCTTTCTTGCTTCTTTTTTCTCTCTTTTTTCCCCTGAGTTCTCTTCCTCTACACTAATAGGATGGACATTATTTCTTAAAAAAAAAAACAAAAAACTAAAAAGATTCTGAACACGGAAAGAGGAAGATAAACAGGCTTAGAATTCTAAGACCCAGTACATTGCAAAGTAGTGAGTTCCCTGGGATTACTTTTTGTTTTGTATATCTTCAAATTTGAATTAGAAGAAGCAGAGAACCTGGAAATGCAAAAAGAAAATCAAAAAAGATAAAAACTTCTTCAACAAAGTCTACTGTTTGAAGCAGTATAATCAGGAAACACAAGCCTAGAAATATATAAATCCTTTCAGATAATTACAGGCTTTCTCACAAGAGACCACAAAATAACTGGTACATCCTTTATCCATACCAGCAAAAGTTGAGAGGGTAGCTCCTCATATACTGAATAAGGCAACCTAAACACCATGCCAGAGTAGCACCAAATGAAGCCAAGTTTGTGGACTAGGACTTTCACACCCATAGGATAATAAAGGACCTCCTCTCCTGTGGTCAGTGGAGTCCACATGGGCAGCCAATACTTCAACCCATTTGAGAGTAACAGTGACCTCTCCCAAGCACCACACATGGAAGCCCAGTGGAGAATTAGTGCTTTCACCACTGTCCATCTGCAACACGGAAATCCTCCTCCCCTTTGGGGTCAGTGGAGACATGTGAAAGAAATGACACAGCATTCCTACTCCTCCAAGCTAGGGGGCTAACTAACTACAAGAGATAAGTACGACAGCTTCCTTCTTGGAGAGAAAACAGTTTATTGACATGGATTTCTTCCTTGGAATTACATTTTCCAAGCACTGAGAGAAATTGACCATCAATCCAGATTTCTATATCAAAGAGAAATATCTTTCAAGAATAGAGTGGAAATCAAGGTATACTCAAATGAAAAAAAAAATTAAAAGAATTTGTCATTAGTAGAATCATGCTAGAAAAAATAGCTAAGGAATATTCAGTAAAGAGAAAGAAAACAATACACACAGGAATTTTGGAACACAAGAGGGAAGAAAGAAAATAGTAAAGAAATAGAAGTAAATACAATAGCCTTTCCTTTTCCTTTGAGTTTTAAGGCAATTATATCATACACAGCGAAGTTAATGAAATATAAAGAAATGTAATTTTTCTGTATTTCACTTAAACTGGTGAAATTATGAAGTTTATATTAGCATAGTATTACCTAGAACGACCCCTAAAAAAACTTAACATATGAAGAGAAAATTTTTAAAAATCTATGGATAAATAAAAGTAGAATTATATATATAGTAAAAATAACCCATTGGAAGCCTGGAAAAGAAATCAAAGAAATAAAATACAAAATATCTTAAGCTTTAACATAGCATAAATTATATTAAATGCAAATTGTCCAAATAAGATCAATTACAGAGACCGTCAGAGTGTATTAGAGATCGACCCAACTATATGTATATGACTTAAATAAACTGACTTCAAATATATTATGTAGGCAGATTGAATGTTAAAACAAAGATATAACATGCAAGAATTAATCAAGAGAAAGCAGAAGTGGCTCTATTAATAATAGGAAAAATAGGCTTTAGAGCAAATGGAATTGCTAAAGACACAGAATGATATTGTGTAATGATAAAAGGATCAATGCATTAAGAATACATGCAATTGAGAATGTATAACAACAAACAACAGGACCACAAAATACATGAAGCAAAAATTGATAGAACTGAAAGGAGCAATAGACCATTCAACAATTATAGTTGGAGACTTCAGTCACTTCTCTTTTTGGATAATGATAGAACAATTTGACAGAAACTTATGAAGAATATAGAACCCAACACCATCAAAAACAGGCTCTAATTGATCATTCCCCCAGTGAATGCATTCAGTAACAGAAGACTACAAATTCTTTTCAAGCATCTACAGAACATATACCACAATACATTAATACCTGACTGGGGAAAAATACAAATTTTAAAAAATTTAAATTTTAAAAGAATTGTAATATCACAACATGCCCTCCAACCACAAGAAAATCAAATGAGAAACCCATTGCAAAAACAAGGGGTCTCCAAATATGTGAAAATTCATATAAATAGTCCATAAACCAAAGGAAAGTCTCCAGGGAAGACAAAAAAAAAAAAGATACACTGGATTGAATGTAAATGAAAATGCAACACATTAAAATTTGTAGAGTGGAGTAAAGGCAGAATTGAGGAGGAAACTTATATCATTAAATGAATATATAAGAAGAAAAGCCTTAATTAATCTCAACTTTGACTTTAAGAATGTAATTTAGGAAAAGCATAATAAATAAACCTGCAGAGGGAAAAGACAGTGGAGTTAACATTGGAAATCTTTATAGCACAAATAAAAACAGTGGAAGAAAGATCTCACCCTCTGAAAAGATTCATAAAGTTGAAAAGCCTCTAATAAGGCTAACAAAGAAAACAGAAGACAATAATTACCAATAACCAGGATTGAAACATACCATCCCACTCCGACCGCAGCACACGTGGGTCGGGGAGCGTGGCCGCTGGGCCCTACGGGCCGGCAGGCGGGCTTGCGGGGCGGCGGCACGGGGCGGGCGGCCCGGCGAGCCCACCAGCCACTGCGGGACCCGACAACGCTCAGGCCTCGCCACAGGTGAAGCAGGAACCCCCGTGGGCGTGTCCCCGGCGGGGCTCAGGTCCCAGCCTCCCGCGTCCAGGCGGTGCTCCCCAGCCTCAGGGCCTTTATGTCTCCGTGGCTCCGTGGAGGGAGATTGGTTCGGTTTGATTACTTTAGAAAAAATGGCCTTGTCAGCCCAACAGATACTCAGATGGTTCAACTCAGCTAAGTCGAGCCGCTTCATTAATGCCACACAACTCACAAAACGTTTTCCAAGACCAGGGAAAACATGGTTACTAAGCTCTTCTGCTTGGCCTCAGATGTCCTCTGACAATTGTTTTCTCCAGTGGGGATTTAAGACTTACAGAACTTCCTCCTTATGGAGTAATTCCCAGTCTACCAACTCAAGTAGGCAAGAGAATAATTCTGCCCAAAGCACTCTGCTTCCTTATGTGAATGAGCAGTCAGAGAAGACACAGAAGATGCCCTGCTTTGACTCCGACCTGACTCTAGAAGAACTGGACTATTTGCCTCCCTTGTCTCCATTGCATCCACCTTCCGAAGAAGAGGCTGTTCAGACTGTTGCACACCCTCCACTGCCTCCAGATTCATTCACACTTCGAGACTATGTAGATCATTCTGAGACTCTGCAGAAGTTAGTGTTTTTAGGAGTGGATTTGTCCAAGATAGAAAAACATCCGGATGCAGCCAACCTTCTTCTAAGACTGGATTTTGAAAAGGACATTAAGCAAATACTCCTGTTTCTCAAGGATTTGGGTTTAGAG